ATTACTATAATCTATTTCATCATCTGTCTCCAATGAAATCATAGAGTTTTCTGAAGTTGACTGCATTCGATTTTCCTCACCCTTAACCTAAATAACAACGATGTCACTTGTTAAAAAAGTATGATATAAGTAAACTTGGCAGTATTTTAAAAAATTGACATACAGTATTAGTATATGTTGGTGCTTTGTTAGCAGGTTTTTGGCTATCAGCTTTTGTTTTGATCTGTGATTAATGCAAAAGAAAAAGAACAGCGTGCTCAATACCCCTAAAATTTACAATAACTCATACTTAGTAGTAAACCTGTTTTCATGGTTCATACCTGGTTGAATTTTTCATTTTTAGTAATAGGCTGAAATTTTTCAAGATCAACCTCAAGTTGTTCGTCGAGATCTTGTGGTTGAGAATAGATCCGATCTTTAAGGTCCGAGATCGAACGAGTCCGCGAGAAAAAGTTCCGAATATCTGGTCCTTCCATTGAACTTCCACTAGAAAGTGTCTTCATAAATAAATCATGATGCTGCATTTCATAGATCGTGACGATCTCACCTTTTTTAATTGAGTTGAAGCTCTTTCCGTTTCTTCATCTCGAGGGCGTTTTTTCAAGGTTGTACGACGATTGTCGATGTTTTGTGTTGAATAAGATGAGTCTCCAGTCAGGTTGTTGAGTTGATTTATAGTCTTTACCTAATTGACAAAAATATTAATTTATACTTTTATCATACAGATTTTCAGATTAGAAGCCTACCTGTAAATTATCAATATTCGTGCGAGCGCAACTCAAATTTTTTATGAAATCGTTGTACGATGCAGTCCAATCCTTGAAAATCAAAATCTAAATTATTATACTTGCAAGAAACATTTCGTAATAAATGCTACAGTATATATTGAGCAAAAAAACTAGCTCTTATTTCGTTAAATCCAATGAGTTACCTTCCATCTATCCAAGATTCCTTGCGCTTTTCTACGTATTATGTCGAACTCAGAAACGGGACTTGCCACCTTTATGAGATCTTTTTTAATTGAATCCAGTACATTCTTCCATTCTCCTTGCTTTATTTGTGAGCGATAATACTCCACCAGCATAATACAAGTCCAGTCTTCGACATCAATGACATAATAAAAAGCCATTAAATTGGATGCCATTCTTAAATGGTGTAAGTTGAAAAAATTTTTATTATAATTGATGGGTTAGTCAACATTACGATTCGCAAATTCTGGCCAAACTTAATTTTAGCCGGCATTACAATGATTATAAATCTTAAATCAGGCCAAAATTTTGAAGAATAACTGCGTCACCCGTTATCAATTCTTTTTATCCCGTTATCAAATCTTATTCAAGAACTAATTGGTGATATTTCACATCCTTGTTTTAGAATTTATAATAATGTCAATATTAATGTCTGAACAGCAAGCAGTGCAAGCTGGGACTCTTAGTCTCCAGTCATGAACTCCTAGTTCCGCAAGCTGGGACTCTTAGTCTAATAAGGACGCTCTTAATTTGACATTAGCGCAAGCTGGACTCTTAGTCTACAGCTTTTCTTGATTAAATTTTTCCGAAGTACATGCAAATGGTTAAAAGAATAAAAACGCATTTATTTATTTGATGTATTGCGAAAACTTTTTAATGAAGCGAAAGAAATATATGATACTATCAAAGAGGGAGGGAGTACGCGGATCCTAGGCCATTTAATGCGAGTCCCAGCATCAAGTTATTTCTTCTCTCTCAAAAATATCTAAAGCTAACTTGTTTCTATTGCTAATATTTCTAACTACAAGATTCTTATCCCTATATTCTTTTCTACACTAGATTTTCGAAATAAATTTTCTCACACATATCTACAGAATTTTCGTCTATCCCACCCACACAGACTATATAATAGATTATTTCCTGCAAGAGAGATGAAATAATTTCGAAACTGTATGACGAGTTTTATTGTTAGATTACTCTGGTTAGATTAGAGTGGGAAGGATTCTTTTTTCTATTTGTCGTTATTATTTATTACTGTTGTTTATTATCATTGAACGAACGTATATGCATGAATTAAATTTCGATAAATTTTTATATGTTTTTTGTTATTTTGTTCATTTTTTTTAGAGTATATATATGTATGAGAGAATAATGATGCGGATTTTTTTCGCGATCTTATCCTAAATATGAGAATTTTAATCATAGAGAGGAAAGAAGGCAAAGAAGGAATGTTTATTCGTATAATAAAAAGGATAATATACTTATGGATAAATATATATATTTGTTATTTCATGAATATTAGTTAACCATTTAAAATGGAATAAAAACGGAAGTGGGATGAAAGTGGGATTATTTCATTCACGGGTCCATTGGTTTATCGTTATCAGGACTCGAAGCGTCTGCGTCTGCCATCGTTTGAGCCAATACCTGATGGTTGCTCAGTCGTTGGCCATGGATACGAGGTTGAGGCCACTTTGAGGTTAGCGGTTGACATCGTTAAAAAATTAACATATTGCACGTTAACCACGAACTCTGATCTGACTTAATTCAATTCTCTAGTGATCATAATGGAGTTTTTTCAGATCTTGACTATTTTCCTGTCAATCCTATCATTTATCACTGTTAACGAATACTCTGAAAGTAGTACTACTGGTAACAAGTTTCGTGTCACCTAGATTTCGACAGTCTCATCGTTTCCACAATGAAACCAGTGATGAATACAGAGATGGAACCAGGAGATAACGTGTCTTTAGTGAGTCCGGTGAGATCACCCGCATTTGCTGTCATCTTTATCAGTGTATTTTTTTTTTTTGTTAATAAATAATAAATAATTAATTTAATTAATTAATTGAAATAGAGAATGGAAAGGTAAAGATATTTAATTTACCTGTAGGGTGTTCTCATGAGGTAGGATACTTTCGGTTTCAAAAAAAGGAGATCCATCTGGATACGGTTGGACTCTTTGGGGCGAAACATGTCACTTAAGAGTTGTCTTCCTTTCTCGCGATCGCTCTTATGATGTCTTTTTCCATGACTGAATGATACAAATTAGTGAAATTTTCGCGGGCATTTTAGTCAACGGGTTCGATTTTTTTTTATTTTTTTTACTTAAATAACAATTTTTTCTCTCTCTCTTTCTAATAATTCTAAAATTCTAAAGATAAATAAAAAGGGACGAACCCTTTCTATTATTTAATTAATAATTATTATATAAGAAATAAGCAATAAGCATAAGCGTAAAGCATCCAAGTATATATAAAAACGAAGAAAAGACCAATCCATTTTTAGTCATAAATCTAATATAAAAGATGTATAAATAAGCTTAGCGATATCACACAAGCTTTTCGACATTCTTTTCTTTATGCTAATAATAATTAATACTTTTCACAGATAAATTTGCCTGTAAAAAATTTGGTTTGCTTATTTTCGAAGGAATACGATAGCTATAATATCGCATCAAAACAATTACTAAATTTGTATATTGTGAAAATTGATATCTTCATTATAATCAAAGAAAAATTAATTGTCAAATATTGTTAAAATTTAAGAAACAATAAAAAAATTTATTAAAATTACAAAATAACAAATCCAACTAGCAAGAATATTATATTATTATACACATCAAAAATCGAAATACAATTCTTATTCATCACAAATTAATTCCCAGTCATCAGCAATATCTTGAGCAACTTGTTTTTTAAGAGATGATGACTTATTATTGTTACTACCACTACTACTACTGCCAATACCAATATCCAAAATAGACGCACCATCTTTTGTGGTACCACTAGAAGTATTGTTGAATGCGTTAGCTAAAATATCAAAAGGATTATTGTTCCCAATTGAAGAAGGATTCCTTGGATAACCTTCAATAGCAGGCACACCAAGATTGTTTAAAAGTTTTACTCTTTCACGCCATCCTACTTCATATTTAGAATTTACCCAACAAAGTTCTACCCATGCAACAATCCCTTTGGGAACTATAAGATCTTTAACTAAAGTTTTTAGCTTTACTAAAAAAATTTCTAATTCATCCATATGAAAAGAACCAACTGATGGTAAAACAATTGCGTCAGCATCTGATACCCATTTAATCTGAAACCTACATTTTCCCATTAATGGTTCTATAGCTTCATGAAGTTCTTCTATTGTCATTCCAAATTGTAATTCTGCTAAATAAATTGCATTGACAGGTTGTTTTGGCTTACGTACTAATTGTTCAAGTGCAGTTGAAGAAGCAGCACTACTATTTGATTTGTTATTATAATTAGAATATGCTTGTGAAAGAAGGATTGGTGGAATTATAGTATCGTTCTTTTTTTTCACAACAACACTTCTCATAGGTTCGACATCAACTCCTTCTGATGACAATCGATAATGAACACATAGCATATGAATAAACTTGCGGTGAGGTGACTTCATCGGTGGTAAATTTAAAGTAGGTTTTTCTGACTTCATAATAAAATCTCCCAAGGTTGTTTCAATATTTCTAGCCCATTCCTTGTTAACAGCAAAATATTTAAATAGATCGTCCTCATATTCCGGAATAGCTTTAATAAAGGGTCTGAATAAAAAAAAACAATTAATTAATTATGAAAACACACACATACATTCAATAGAATATTACAAAAACTTTACGTACCCATCACCAACACGATCAGTAATCTCTAATGCATCTGCTAGTTTTCTATTTCTTTCGGCTAAAGCACAAAAGTCATTACAAGTCAATTGTCGATTTTTCTTTTCTAACCCATTTTCTGCTGTTACATTACAAGATACTTCTTGTGAAAGATGACCACATTTACAATTAATAACAATTTTGACCCGACATGGTACATCTTCAGGACATCTTGCTGGGGCATGACATTGTGCGGTACAAGGATGGCCACAAACTTTACGTAGTTTTCCACAAGTTTGAATACATTTACCAGAAGTACTCTGATTCGTTATTAAACATTCACCTGAATGACAAGTGCGTTTACAACGATGGCCTCCACAACTAACTGGTAAATCACATACTTGACCGCAACTTACATTAGTTCTGTGACAAGGTACGTTTCTAACCACGGATTTACCACACATACATTTTTTGTTCACTAAAAAAGGACAAGGTGGACAAGGTTCTTCATCAGTATGACAAGGATGTGCGATATCTGAATGACCACACACTCTGTTTCTAATACAAGTATATGGACATGAAGGAATTTTGTATCCACATTGAATTGGCGGATCAACCTTTGTACGTCCACAAGGACAAGTTAATTCCTCAAATGATGCTTCTAAACAAGGCAAACAATATTCTCTATGGCACGGTAACTGACAATAGTGATTGCCACATTGCAATTTCTTTCCACAAATTAAGGGACAACGATGATTCTCATCATCATCTTGTGTATCGCCCCATCTCTTAGATCTTTTAGGTTTATTTGCAGAGGGACAACATCGAGTAACGCATTGATGTCTACCGCAATTTCTATCGCCATTACAAATTTTATCACAAATAGGTGGTTCACCAGTCTCGCCAATTACTTCAGAGCAAATCCGTTCATACTCCATATTTCCACAACGACATTTGACGCGTATACGTATGTTGCAAGGCTTACAATCACCATGATGACATGTTCCTTGACATTCATGGCCGCACGAAAGCAACTTTTTGCATATATTACCACAAAGTGGTATTTCCTCAGTACAAGATAACCTTTCATGTCCAAGTAAAGAAATTATGCTTTTAGAACCACAAGGACATGTTTGCACTCGTGATGGATCTAATGGACAAAGTTCAACGTCACCAGTAACTGGGTGACACTCTTTTGTACAAGAATGATGACCGCAATCCAACAGTCTGCTACAAGCATTCTTACATGAGAAAAAGCCAGTCCAAGTGTTAGATTCGCCATTACACTCTTCGTAACAAAAAATAGCTATTCCATCACTACACCTTGCTTCTCGTTCTGTTTGTCCACAATAACATTTTTGTATTTCAATTATATTACATTTAGGACATGTTCCATCATGACATTCCTTCTCACATGAATGTTTACCACAGCCTAACAATTGACCACATGCTTCACCACAAGACTTGCCGTTACCATAATCAGTATCAATACATCTGAGTTTAAAGGTCTTGCGACCACAATAACAATATTGAGCAGGTGCCATAGCAGAGCACGGA